CACAGACTGCCTCTGGGGTGGGGGGTGATGATGTCATCAGTACACAGGCTTTTCCCACAAGTGTCTTCTGCCGTCCTTAACAATGAACTGGGGAAATAGTCGGTCTATTCCTGTCAATCATCTGCTGGTTGGGTAGTCAATCTGAAATGCTTTTAGAGATTAGTCATGGAAAAGCTATGAGGTGTGGAGGTTAGATGCTCATCAAGTGAAATGCCACACAGTCTGTTCCAGCTCTTTTGGGACTATAAAACAATGAGTGTCAAAAATATGTATTTCCACAAATGAATGAGTCAGAGGTTCACAAAAAAAAGCTAGATTCAAACAAAGGCCTTACCAGTGGTTAGGACATGGGAAATAGTGCCAGGCTAGCAAAACTGTTCTCCACATACACTCTGTCATACTCTACACAGCTGACAATGGCTAGAAGTTTCAGTACACGTTTCCAAGGAATATGTATTCTTGATAATCTTGTAACCATTGATAATCCTTCAAATCAACAGTGAGTCCATGTTAACCCACTGTCCAGCTTCACTATTATTTGTCACCGCAGAGTTTAAAAAACATTTTTTTTTTTTTTTTTTTTTTGGTTTTTCAAGACAGTGTTTCTCTGTGTAGCTTTGCTCCTTCCTGGAACTCACTCTGTAGTCCAGGCTGGCCTCGAACTCACAGAGATCCACCTGCCTCTGCCTCCCGAGTGCTGGGATTAAAGGCGTGCGCCACCACCGCCTGGCTAAAGAGATGGCTCAGCTGTTAAAGGCTAGGCTCACAACCAAAAATATAAAAAACATGTTTTAATCAGAGCTTCCCAAGTGCTTCCCCAACCGTCCCTTTTCCCAAACACGCAAATGGCCAGAAAGTCACAGAACACAGGACGTAGCTGTCTAGACCCACCTTGCTGTTGCTGGTCCTCCTGCACCTTCAGCTGACACGTGCCCAAACCGGTGAGCAGGTGGCTGTCGTCTTTCCTTTGTGTGGTAGACATGGCACCAACAATCTGGCTGTGCCTCGGGGATCACTAGGGCATTTTGTCTTAGCTAGTCATCTAAAACGGCCTCCAGAAGTCACTTGGAAAGAACACAGAGGCACACGCAGATCTCGCCTCGCATGTAAAACATTTACTCCTCGAAGAACATGACAGAGTTTCTTTTCCCCTGGTTAAGAACCCTGCAGTAAAGATTTACCAGTGTTACGTCTCCTGCCTACAAAGATGCCAACTTATTTGGCTAGAAACAAGACTTCGTTCTTTGCTTCAAAACATTCTGAAAACTTTCTCCTTTTCTAATGTAAAATCCTACAAAGAAACTATCTCTCCCGGTCAGTTTTAGCCATTTTCGCTTTCTTCTCTGATCTGGAGTCCAGTCTCTCACGCACAGAGAGGACTGCTGGAGAAACCCACCGCACAGGAGGGAAGTACTGCCGGATTAAGTCAAGGTTTCTCTGCTTGGTCAGTTTACCCTGAGACAGCTGGATGTGCACAGTTCTTAAGGGAGGCTGCAGGGGGAGGAGCCGAGAGAACTAGCTAATTAGCATAAAGAGACCGGCAAGACAAGGCCTTCTGATTGCTGTAATGTAGTGAGCAAGGCAGGCATCGTAAAGAAGCCCTGAGAGCGGGATAATTAACCATCTGACTTCTGCTGCTCTGTGTTTAAAGCACAAGCCCAAAGCGGGGCTTGAGTGGCGTGGATATCCTCGGGCACATGTGAAATGGAAAAGGTACGGCTGGGGCTGGTCATGAGCTCATGGAAATGTACTGCGGCAGCTCCTGGATTCTGTAAACAGCTCTGAGGCTCCAGGCGAGGACAGTTATGGGGCCAAAGCAACTATTTAGAGTTCTGCAAGAAAAAATAAACATACGGAACACTACCCAGAACCTTACCTTTGCTTCCCAGAACAGCCTCCACTGCTGCGGCTGCTCGCGAGCTTTCTTGGGAGTTGCAGTTCACCCCAAACACCTTAGATTCAACGAAGTCCCAGTGAATGCCGTAGGTCCTGTCCTGCAGCATTTACTCCTCGTAGAGTCAGAAAGTAGGTAACAGGCAGAATTCAACAGGCCAGAGCTGTCTGGATGCTGAGGCTTTCTGCTCATATTTGGAAACTGGTATTAAACACCCTAATAAGGTTACTTCCTCATGATATCTGGGGGCAGGGGAATTATGTCTCTTGCTGTTGTTTTGTTTTTTTACACTGAGGGAATTCATAATTTCCCAAGCATATGCTGGTTCCTAAAAACTCATGAAATATATGATTTCTCTTTTTTAAATTCCTATGACTAATAAAAGTGAAACTTTTGTACTACATTTTGTTTTTTAGTTGGTAGAGTGGTCATGAAGATAGAGACATGGAGATGCAGATTCCTGGGCCCAGCTGCACAACCTGGGCTATAAGGTCAAGTTTGGAATCTATATACACACACATGCACCTGCACATGCATGCACACACATGCACATGCATGCAGAGGAAGACACTTTTACACAGACACACACACAGACACACACACACACACACACACACACACACACACACACACACACACACACGTATTTCTTAATTCTTCTGCTCCAGATAAAGAAGCGGGGCTCTTAAACAGAGCTGGTTTTCGCCTTCTTTGACTGACTACAGCTTTCCTGTAGGCCTGTTTCAAGTGCGACCATGTTAGAGAACAGGGCAGATGCTGAGGACCCTTAAGGGTCTGCTTTGGGTATCACTGTGCAGTCCTGGGCAGTGGCCCTGTGACTAATCATCTGCATCAAGGGGATGTCTGAGCTCTTGCCCTGAATGTTGTTACACTTCTGTCTTGTGGGGTTGGGTTTCTAGACCCCACTGGAGTGAACCCAGCGTGGCTGAACTCTATGCGACAGGAGTGAATAAAGCATCCCAGAGACACAGAGTGGACGTTTCCCTCACAGCCACCCCTCTTACTCACTTTTTATGAACACCCACCAAGGTACGTTACTTCCTGACAATTGTGCTTTGCTGTGCTTTTTGCTTATAAGGAAAAGCAAGACACTGGCATGGCAAAGTTGCTTAGGTCAAGAAACAGAATAATCATTGGTGTTTTATTTACAATTTAATTAAATAATATGCTGTAATACCATAAAGGTTGTTTTCCTTTTCTGTGACTCCCCTCACTTCAACGAATAACACTGATTGTGTGTGTGTGTGTGTGTGTGTGTGTGTGTGTGTGTGTGTGTGTGTGTGTGGCGTGTGGCATGTATGTGGGTGCACATGCCCATGCACGCATGTGTGGAGGCCAGAGCTTGATTTCAAATGTCTTCTCCTGTTACTGTCCGCCTTATATTTTGAGACAGGTTCTCTCAGTGACCCTTAGACTCACTGTATTGGCTAGACTGGCTGGCTGGCAAGCCACAGGGATCCATCTCTCCTTGCCTTCCAGTGCTGACATTATAGGTGTGTTTGGCTAGGACCAGGTGAAGATCCAAACTCAAACTGCAATGTTTGTGCAGCAAGGACTTACCGTGGGAGCATTCCCTCAGACCCCCGCAGACTTCTTTCTCTCTCTTCCTTCTCTATCCTACCTTTTCTTCCTTCCTGGAAACCTGCATCTTTGTGCTCTCCGAATGGGTAGCGTGGAGTGGTGTGTTGTTACAGCTAAGCAGCCTGTTAGCTCCCACTGTCACGGGAGATACTTGGAAATTTGGTATCTTATGATTAGAGTTGACAGTACAATTGAACACTATAAATAGTACAGAGTTCACCGGAGAATTCTCTCCTCTTAATTGAACCATGTTTACAAAGCAGAAATGCATTCACTCGGCATTAGCCCTCAGGTAGGTTACTTGTTGAATTTGTAGCTTGCCTTACTTCAAATATACTTGCAATAGCAAGTCTATGGATACATTATTAGTTTTAGTTTTGAGAATTTCATACAATGAGTTTTGACCTTACCCATCCTCTCCGCCACCTTCTTTCACATCCACCCCTTCCCTACCCACCCAACGTTTCCTCTTTTGTCCCCACCACATGCTATTTGTGCTGCCATGTATACTACTGGGTGTGTGGCTTTCCAGTCAGCGTGGTCAACCAAGTGCTGGCAATGCTCTTGATTCTCCCTCTCCCAGCAGCCATCAGCTGTCCGTAGTTCTTTGGCTAGGAGTGGGACTTATGTCAACCTTGCCCTATGAGCGCTGAGATTTGGTCTGGCTTGAGATCACTCTGCTGTGAGTTCATATGGCCACCTGCCCTGTATTGTCCACAAGACACTGTTTCCCAGTATTCCTTCACCACCTCTGGCTCTAACAACCTCTGAAGAAAGGTGTCACGTGACAAAAAGCCATAGTATGGCATTTGTCATTTTCACCCTAAAAGGACAGGATAAAAGACTGCTAACAGATTGTAAGGATGAAAGCCAGAGAACCTGGTCTGGCCTCAATAGGATCTCCTAAAACCAGGAATGTTTGAAAGACTATTATAGTTGAGGAACAATGGATTACTGCTGAGGCTTTAGGCTTCCCATTGATTTTAAATAAGAGAACCCTTGTTCCTTTATGTAAGCCAATAGTTTCCTCTCAGATCATTCATCTTTAACATACTGACCACAGACACTGTGGATGATAATTCTGAGTTTCAGGATCTAACGGTGGCATATGCCAAAAAATAAAATAGCCATGAAAGTGGGCTGTGTCTGGCTAGAGTCATGTTACTCTAAGTTTTTAGCTCGTAGAGTTTCCTAAGTAATACAGTTGGCTGGATTCCCGCTGTCATCTGTGAACACATGGCTTTACTAGACACAGTTTTACTAGAATACCTATTATCCAGAAGCTTATCAGGCTTCACTGGTACGGCTCCAAACTCCTACTTATGAAAGGTGCTCACTGTTCAGAAATCTCTCACACTCCATAGACACTGGCAGTTCAAAGTAATGTCTGTTCTGTGGCTGGTGAGCACCACTCTGGCTGCTGCAGGGCTCCCTCTGGAGGTCAGCAGAATCCAAGACTGGGTAGCTAAATCACCTACCTCATCCTCGGGATACCTGAGATCCACAGGATTTCAAGTCTAGTGTTTGTGAGTTTAGGAAATGTTTATGGTCTGTATCTGCAAGGTGGGAAAGCTCCCTCATCATCCTCCTATGAGTGAAATTTGGTTGCTGTGTAGTGAGATTTAACCTCCCGTAGCTTTACATCTTTACTGAAGTCTTTTGATCAAAGTCAAAATAAAACAAGATAAAACCAGAGTTGGGTGGGGGAAGCTGCTTTATTTTTATTGTTTTAGGGGAAAATATACCCCAAATACATTAACTCCATTCCAGTGCCATAATGTCCACCTTCCAGGAAGGATAAGCAGATTCCTGGAGTCTGACTATTGTCTACAGGTGCTGAAGTCCATTGCCACCATGATGAATGCATGAGTTGGGACAGAACAGAGCGCTTTAAAGGTAAATATGCAAATAAACCTTCATAAAAGAAAACTTTTGTTATTCCATATAAGTTTACATTAATAGGAATAAAATGAAAATCAAGTGATGTTCCCCCTCCTTTCATAACTCCTTTCCTTATTGGGTGATTTGGGTTTTTTGGTTCCATCTACTTCCCCTTCCTTCTCTGTCTCTATTTCTCTTCATACTCAGTTTCTTCTATGGTAACCATGTTGAGTTTAGAATGATTTTAATGTATTAAAAATGAAATTAATTTGCATTTCTCTGGTGGCTGGTGTGGTTTTTCATAGCCTTGTTGACCATTTGTAATCCATTTTTTGAGAACTGTTCATTTCACTAGCTCATTTACTGATTGAGTTGCTTCATTTTTTGCTGTTTAGTTATTTTGAGTTCTTTGTATGTTCTTGATAGTAATTATCTATCAAGTGTATAGCTAGCAAAGATTTTCTCCTATTCTTTAGGCTGCCTCTTGATTCAATTACCTGTTTCCTTTGCTGAGCAAAACGAAAATCATGATGATTTCATCTTCCTCCAGTTAGAATGGTGGTATTTGAGAAAGCCAACAACACACGCTCAAAAAGGAACCATGACACATTGCTGGTGGGAATGTAAACTGGTTCAACCACTATGGACATCGACATGCAGGTTCCTGAAAAACTGAAAATAAATTCACCATATGACCCAGTTCTTCCACTCCTGGGTATTTACCTAAAGGATACCAAGTTCACATATCTCAGAAAAACGTGTACATCAGTATTAATTTTAACACTATTCACAATAGTTAAGTGAATGAAACAAACTACGTGCCCAACAACAAAAGAATGGATAAATAAAATATGAAATATATGACATATATGATAGAATTTTGCTCATCACTATTCACAATAGTTAAGTGAATGAAACAAACTACGTGCCCAACAACAAAAGAATGGATAAATAAAATATGAACTATATGACATATATGATAGAATTTTGCTCATCTATAAGAGAATAAAGTTACATCACTTGCAGGAAACACATACAATTGGAGATAATCATAGTAACTGAATTAAGCCATTCCTAAAAAAATTGTCATATATGTACATATGACATAAATACAGAATCAGAACTTCCAGGAACAAAGAGAATGGACAGGGAAGAAAGGGAAGGTACAGAGATATGGAGGAATGTGTTCAGCATATAATGTGTGCTTGTGTGGAAGTGTCCTTATGCAATGCAGTGCCAGGCATAATAAATATATACAATGAACATTTTTAAATGAAACTATTTTCTATCTGAGTCTTGCTTCAAGATTGTATAAACAATAGGTGAGATGAAATTGGCCATAATTGGTAATTATTCAATCTAAATGATGATTTCCTAGGGATCTAATGTGCCCTCTCCCCACATAAATAAGTAAATGTAAAAAAAAAATAAGAAAAATAAATAAATGACTATGGCCAAAACTTTGAAGAAGTCTGAGGCACATTCAAGAGCCCTAACCATAAAAAAAAAAAAAAACAGAAAAGAAGAATAGGACGAAGCACAAAAGCATGGAAAGTATACTCTATGAAATTATAGAAGAAAATTCCCTGAGCTTAAAAGGGGGAAATTATGTAATTGTATTATAATCTCAAAATATTATTTAAAAAAGCCAAACACCCCAAAGCAAGAAGCATTTAGGAATCCAAATAGACATGATCAAAGAAGAGTCACTCCATGAAATATCACAATCAAAATGTCAAAAATACAAAGTGAAGAAACAGTATTAAAAGCTCTAAGGGAAAAGTGTCCATTTGCCTATAAAAGCGAAGACATTAGGATAACATCACATTGCTTGGATTTTAGGTTGACAACCTACTAAAATCCAGGAAAGTATAGCATGATGTATTTCAAACCTTTAGAGTAAATAACAGCCGAACTACTTATACTCAATAAAGCTATCTCTTTAAATTGATGGAGAAAGTTGGAAGTGATGGTCTGCAATCCCAGCACTAGAGAGGCAGAGGCAAGCAGATCTCTATGAGTTCAAGGCCAGCTGGTCTACAGAGCAAGTTCCAGGACAGCCAGAGCTGTTGTACAAAGAAACTTTGTCTCAAAAACAAACAAACAAGCAAGCAAACAAAAAACCAACCAACCAAACAACAACAACAAAAACCAAATAAATTGATAGAGAAATAAGAATGCTTCAAGGCAAGCAAAAACTAAGGCAATTCGTGGCAACCAAAGCAGCTCCATGAAAAATTCTTAAAGGAACTCTAGACACTGAGAAAGAGAGAAGGTAACCACATTCACAAGTGTAGGAGAATACACTTCGAGATAAGAGGGATAGATAAACAAAGGAGAATTAGGAAGGAACACTTCCTGTCCAGCACAGCAAACCGTAAAACCCCTAGCATCAACAGGAGGAGAAGAAAACTTACAGTACCATGACCTTTTATTAATATCTTCCTTATTTGAAGAAAATAGGGCACTTTGAATCTGATACTGACCAAGGGAGAGAGACGGAGGTTATTATTTCATTAGCCTGAAGCACTGATCTATGATTTCTGTACCGAATTACCCAAGAGCTTCAAAATATCGAGATCTCTCTCTCTCTCTCTCTCTCTCTCTCTCTCTCTCTCTCTCTCTCTCTCTCTCTTTCTCTATATATATATATATCTATATATCTATATATATATATATATAGATATATAGATATATATATATATCTGTTTCTTCACCTCCATATAGACTGAGTCTGAAGCTGGCATGTGACTTAGCATCCATGTTTTAAAAATAAATAGCTCAGGTGACTCTAATGGGCATCCGTGGTTTTAACCAACGGGGTAGGCATCTGGTTGGTCATTTCTTTGACAGTTTTGTGTCTGTGTTCTCAGCTTTGGGAATACTCACCACTTTCTTCTACTGATTAGGCCTTTGGCTTCAGGTACTTCACAACAGCTTTTTCCTTTTCTTTTTCTGCTGAGGAGTGTGTGACAGCCCCATCAATGACCTGGGAAAATAACCTGTATCAAAGCCAATTAGTTGCACTGTTTCCATTTTAATGAAGTAGATCAATTATTGGAGGAGGGCTAGACTGGAAAATTCCTGAGCCTGGCAGACCAGCAGCCTCAGGCTATTATATGGTCAGGTACAAATCCACTCATTCATTCAACAAATCGATATTAGACACTAAATACGTTTTAGAATCTGGAAATAAAAATGATGAATATGAACTTGATTCCAAGCTTCAAACTCTTGTTGTTGTTGTTGTTTTTGGTCATCCCAGAAATTAATGGTTCTTAGCTAGCTGGAGTTTACTAGTTCTTAGCTTTGGCATTTCAAATACTGTTTTGTAGACTTTGAAATTTGACGGACTAGTAATTTTTTTAGTTGAGTGAACTACCAATTTTTAATTTTTCAACTTAGGCAACCAAACGAACATCTTTTAAACACAAACAACAGCATGTAGACCGTCTTACTACAGTAAGTCACCATTTAATAATAGTTTCATGAAAAATTCTGCAAATCTTAAAATTTGGAGCCAGATTACTACCTATCTGTATCTCTCTCACAGTATATGGATTATTCCCAAGTAAATGTGTTAGTGCATATTGCAAGTCACATTAGTAGCCAGTATGTAGAAGAAAGACCAGATTTGTCCCCATAGAAGCCTCTTAGGCCACCAACAAGAAAAGACATTTAACAGTGTTTTCAGTGTAACAAAGATGACTAACTCCTGAAAAACAGAAAGGAAATGGGGGGCAGCCCTAAGATTTCTCTTGTCTCAAGATCAGTTCGAGTCTACAGAAAAGGGATGGAACCCATGTAGATCTTGGAATATTCTGGCATGATAGAGCTAAAAGTTCAGGATGAACAAGGTTACTGGAGTCCACAGGAAAGAACACTGGTCAAGAAAGCTGTGTAGACAGATCTATCTGAACACCTGCCATTTCTCCTATGATTTTAGCTGATAGGCACATCATGAAACTACCCCGGGCCAGGAGTAAAATCACCTGGAATGGGGAGAGGTTAGGATGTCTGGCAGTCACACAGGGTCAAAATAGTGCTCATATCCAGAATTCACAATGGGAAACCTCATGATTCCTGTTTCTAAAAATGAACAGAGCATCAGTGAACTGTTAGACAAGTCCAGTGATGACATTAATATTCATATATTGTATATACTTATATGTGTAATATATTACATATAGTATATTATAATAACCATTATAAACCCACAAATTCAAGTACAACATTCATAAAGACTATGCCAAGACACATATAATCCAATAGTTCAAAACCAGTCATAAAGGGGGAATCTTAAAAGAAATAAGAGAGAAATATACACAGAGGAGCACTGATAAGCTTAATAGATTCTATATCATAAAAAAATGCAGATAAGAAGACAAGTCTCATTCATGATGATTTTAAAATCTTCAACAAATTACAAATAGGAAATTTCTTAATTTTACAGAGAAAATGAATCTGCAGCCATTAATCCTCCTACTTAATGATGGAAGAACAAATTATTTCCCCTTAAGAAACACACAAAAGGCTATCTATTTCAGAAGTTCAATTAAAAATGCATTGTATGAAATTCACAAGAAGTAATAAAAATGCTATTTTAAAAATCACATGGGATGTTCTTGTCAGTGCAATAAGACAAGAAAAAGAATAAAATTACCCAGACTGAAAAAGTAGAAGTAAACTAATTTTTTTTCAGATGATGCAATCATCCTATGTAGAAAATGTATGCAATCTCTACATGAATAAGTGAGTTTTGCAAAGTGGTAGAATTTTAAGTTGGTATGGAAATTGCATTGTACTTCTATATACTAGCCACAAAAATGCCAACTGAAGCAAGACAATACCATTGGCAATAGTGTCAAGAAAGATGAAAGCTTTGTGGAAAAATCTGACAAACTATGTGAGTGATCAAAACTACAAAGACCTTGATTAGAAAAATTGAGGACCTATGTGATGGAGAACCACACTGTGTTCATAAGAAAGAAGACGCAATTCTAGCCTCAAGTTTGTTCACATTTAATTTTAGCTAGAAAATTATTGACTTTTTAGAAGGAAATTAGTGGTTTCAACAAATATAATTGTACAGGTTGACGAATGTGTGGAAATCAGAAGGATATAGAATAGCCAAATTTATTTTGAGAAAGAACAAAATTAGAGAACTAATACTACTTGGTGAAGATTCATTGTAGTTGTAGGAACTGAAACAGGGAAAGACCATCACCAGTGTGGATAAATAGATCTGTGTATACTATAAATTATCCTGAAATAATATAGCACATATATACACAAATGATTTGGAAAAATGCAAAGGCAGCTCCTAGTAGAGAAAATAATGGCATCTTGGTCAGTTTGGCTGCTGCTGACCAGAATCAGAAAGTATATAGATAAATAAAAATATTAAGTTGTAGTGATAAGGGAAAGTTGCTCAAAAATACTACTCAATAAATTTTTATTTCATCTGTAAAGTTTTCTCATACACCTTCTCAAAGTTTGAGAGATACGTTCCAGAAGAGGCAATGCCAACACAATTACAAAATCTCTGAAGACAAAGTTTTTGAATAAATTGCTGTTGTGTTTTATAAAGTTCACTTTTCAATAAATATTATCACTTTGATGTTTACTTTGACCAAATTCAGTCATGAAGGCATTCAAGCAAAGCTATTTTCTAGTTTAGTTTCCCTTGGGATATGTTTTGATACAAAAATTGTTTATCAAATTGTGCTCATTCCAGAAATAAGAAAACAAAAGCTTACCTTGCAATGGTCTTCTTAATATTTTTGCAGCTGTCCCTCTTAGAACTTACTGCCTGTAGCTTGGAATAACATCTTTCCTGGTTAGGGAATCCTGAGGTGTTGGACTTGGTGTTTGCTTATATAGTCTTGTATTCAAAATATATATTTGGGGGCTATTAGGAAATTCAAGGTTACAGCAGTCAGTAGAACAAAGAGAGCTCCTGCCCTTTAGAGGTTATATCGAATGATGAGTTTCCAACGATAAACATTGGAACATGGCAGCAGCGGAGTAGTGCTTATTCATTCAACTTGTAAGAGATGTGTGAGTCAATCTAAGCCACTGCACCATACACCATACACCACACACCACACACCACACACCACACACCACACACCATACACCATAGGCTGGATAGGTAGAACAACATCTGTTTGTGATAGTTCTGGAGGCTGGTAGTCCAACATCAAGTACTAGTGCTTCTGACGTCTGGTGAGAGTGGCTGGTTTGCAGATAGCAGTGTTCTCACTTAGTCTTCATACACGAGAGACCAAAAAAAACATCAGACACAGAAAAACAAACACCATGTGTTCTCTCTTATACATGGATTCTAGCTTCAAATCCTTAGATTTGTGTGTTGAACTCAGAGTGCCTGTAGAAGCCAGGAAACTAGAAAGAGTTCATGGTGGGCTTAAAGGAAGGGTAGAACACGGGCCATATGAAAGGGGTGAGGAGAATAATGGAGGATGATTCAATGGGAAAGGGGATGGGAAATAAACATCATGTGGGTATCAGAAGAGAAATGTGGAGAGAAAGACAGAGAGAGAGAGAGAGAGAGAGAGAGAGAGAGAGAGAGAGAGAGAGAGAGAGAGAGAGAGTCAGTCAGTCTTCTCTAAGGGTGGCCTCTCATAGATTACCCCTCACAACAGGTGGGGACACAAGCAGGGCCCACTAAGGAGTGAACACAAGCTAGACAAAGAATGTCCCATCACCAACACTCAACTACGGATCCTGAGGCCTCTGCTCTGAAGACGGACTGTCAAGAGCAGACCCAGTGAGAGCCCTGAGAGCTTGACAATCAGATAGAAGAATGCTGAACAAAGCCTGAGGGAGCATTGAACTGGATGAAAATGGATAATGAGTAAAAATAACAATGCTGCATTTTCTGAATGCATGCTCAAAAGAGAGAATGTTTCAACAAACAGATGCTGAAACTATTTGCAATGTTGTTTGAGTTTTCTACATTGTCCTGATTCAGGTTTCCTGCTGCTGGGTAAATACACCAGTTAGTCTAAACAATGTACACACAGAGATAAACACACAACATGCTATGAACCACACTTGCACAGCACTGCTTGGTGACTAATTCATACTTGCTAAAGGATAAGTTCTGTAATGAATTATTTTAAACCCAAAACTATCTTCCCATGACCCTATTCAGTTATGGGAACGGCTTGCAATGACTATTGGTAAGAGGTGTTTTACACTTGTTGGTTAATTCTGCCTGAATTAGATATAATCTATTGATTCTGGTTACCTTCCCAGTGGAAAGAAGGGCCACAGAGATGGGAGAGGAAGTGGAGCTCCCAGCAGGAGTTCTGTCTTTGCTACTTTTTAGAAGGGAAATTTGACTAAGGATGTACTTGCACTATATTGCATTTTATATTTTCAAAGAAATGCTATCTTTTTATCTTCAGTTCCTGGCACGCAGGTAGTATCTAATAAACGGTAATTACTTCTGCTATTACCACTGTGATCTTTTACATCATAACTGGTTTGAGAGTATCTGTCAAAGAGGCTCTATGGAGTCCATTCCCGAATTCTTGGGAATTCGGTTAGGCAGCAGGATGGACCCAAGTACATGGTCTGTACTTTAGCTGTCATGGTGGTTTGAATAGGCTTATATATTTGAATGCTTAGTCACCAAGGAGTGGCACTATTTGAAAGGTTTGGAAGGATTAAGAGGTGTGGTCTTGTTGGAGGAAGTATGTCACTGTGGATAGGCTTTGAGGTTTCAGAAGCTCATGCCAAGCTCAGAGTCTCTCTCTCTCTCTCTGCTTGCAGATCAAGATGTAGCTCTCAGCTACTTCTCCAGAACATTGCCTATCTGTGCCATGCTCTCTGCCATGATAATGGACTGAGTCTCTGAAACTGTAAGCAAACCACCAATTCAACGCTTTTTTCTTATAAGAGTTACCTTGATCATGGTGTCTCTTCACAACAATAGAAAAATGACTAAGAGGTGTATTGCCTGCATTTTCCCAGTGGAAGTTTCTAGTATGTTCTAGTAATAGAGTGGCTTATCTGGAGCATTTTTCACTCCATGAAACCTTTTCTCTCTTCACCGATTTTTCTCTAGGAAAGAGAGACAAATTCATGAGGCAGATGGTCTGTGTTGGGAAAACCATAAAACTAGACAGTAGCTAGCCAAGGCTATTGGGTATTTTGTGCCTGACTGAAATCAAGAGACCAGACTGATGAAACCATTGTATCAAGAGCACAACAGGAAGAGCTCCAGGCTCCTGAATGTAAATTAGCTCTGTTTATGGGCCGTAGATAAATGGCTTTCAATAGTAGAGTGAATACAAGGAAGAGTTACATTATCTGATGGATGAAAAAATACACTGACACTAACAGTTATTGAACTCAGGTACATTCTCAGATACCCCCCAACAGCCTTCTGGGGTGAAAATTTCCCCAAATTTGAGGAGATTAAGTAGCTTACAAGCCTGCGTAATGTCTAAATGTGTCTGAACTCAGTCTCATGAAGCTTCAGCTCTATTCATAACTTTGTGCTAACTGTCTCAATGATGTCCCTGCCCAAAGGAATAATGGACAGTGGTTGAACAGAGTTTTGTGTTGCCTGAAAGGGTAGAGGCTGAATCACAAGGTGAGGCAAAAGGAGGCAGTTTGCGTTCAACATTAAGAATTTTGAGCCACCAGAGGTAGTCAACTAAAGATGGAGGCGTTGGCTAGCATACACGACAGTGTGACACTGTGACTAGCTAAAAGCACAGGTCTGTGCTCTGTGCTGAACACTCATGCATCAACTGAGAGGTGGGTCTGTGCTCTGTGCTCTGTGCTGAGCATTCATGATCCAGCTGAGATGCTAGACTTGTTGGGTTTTCAGGCCGTCCCAGCACTACAAATCTATACTTCTGTGATTCTGGATGACCTGTTGCAGAAGGTGTCATATCTCAGACAAGACTGGTGCATCTCAGAAACTTCAGGAACACTCTCTCCCACACAATTCCCATGCATCCTCCTGGGTTAAGCTTTCTCTCCTTCACAACTTCCCAAGGGGGACACCTGGTCACCCTGTTCAGAATCTCCTTTTCACCACCCCTGCTTGATCCCCACTTCCTTCCCTCTGCTTCATGTTCTCTTCCACATTCAACACACATGATTTTATAAAACACACATCATTAATATATTATTTTGTTTCTCCCTACTCTGGTTTGACGAGGTCAAGAAGACTTTTCTTCTGCAACTTAGTATCTGGAATATTGTAGAATCAATAAATACTTATTAATGAGTTAGTAGAACAAGGTTGGGAACTGAGGCTCCACTTACACCCAGGTGAATGACTTTGAAGAAAATATTCCATAGTTCTGGTTGACCATATTCTCTCAGGTTCTCTATGTCAAAAAAAAAAAGTAAGTATAATTTAAAAATTCAACCGAATGGTTTGTTCTTTGTCTTAAAAACTTGGCCAAATAATTCTAAATAAACATGGATATAAATGTAAAAAGAAAAGATGCCAACCATTCCTTTTGAAGCACACTTGGTTCTTTATGCAGCTGAACCACTGGGCTGAGGCTTGTTCCGTTCAGATTTTTTGCTGTTCGGAGAACCCTTCATTATTGGAAACACCATTGACAGGCAAATCTAGCAACCAGCATATGCTTGCACACTCCATCTATGAACCTTCATGCTGGGGATTTTCCACTGTGTGGTTACTGCCTAAGGGAAAATTTCAGAGCAGTAAGAAAAAGATTGATGGTTTGCTCCTGATATTGTGAAAGCCATGTTGATTGACATTCCCAACACACCAGACACACAGAGCTAGTATGATTGTTTGATTTTTCTTCATTCACATACATTTTGTAAGTTTTGTTATTTTTGAATATACTCATACGGCTTCTCATGAATATGTGGGAGGGATGTTATATGTACTATGGGAAAATACACAGTCACTAAATAATTGATTGTTTGATAATATTTAATATGTACCGTATTTAGTGAAACAAATATGTATACTTATATAGTATTTCTGAAGAGTAAAAAACCTCAAGAAACTATAAAAATAAGACTAAAGTAACCCCAAAACAAACAGAAGGAAGAAAATAAGAGCATAGCTCAGTAAAACTGAAAACAGGAAAAGAAGAGAATTTGGCAAGATGGCTCAGTGGGTTGAGGTGCTGAGCCCCAAGCTTGATGACAAGAGTTCCGTCCCTGAGCCTCACCTGGTGCAGGAGGAGAACTGACTCCTGCTTGTTGTCCTCTGGCCCCAATCAGTGGAAACCATGGCCCTTGAGCACCAGCCCCACTCATACACAGAAAGGAATGCACACACTCATGCACAAAATGAGTAAATGCAATAAAAATGTAAAAACAAAACATAGAAAAACAGTGAATCAAAGAGTTGATGTCATTATTCCCATTTGAACCTTTATTTCTCTGTGTTCTGTCTCCCCTCTGTGGAAATTCTCCCATGGCCCCTTTCCTGACCTCTATGGTATTCCAAAAGAAATATACATATCTGAAAATTCAAAGCTATCATCCCCAAATGAGATGAAACATGCAACATTTTTCACCCATTTGCTGTAGAATTTCATGATTTCATTTTTCTTAGCTGAATAATATCCCACTGTGTAAATGTACCACATTTCATTATGGATATCTAGGTTGTTTTCACTTCCTAGCCATTGTGAATAGAGCAGCAGTGAACACAGATGAGCAGGCACCTCTGTGGTACACTACAGATTCCCTTGGATAAATGCTCAGGAGTGGAGTAGCTGGATCACAGGGTATATCTATTTCTAGCCTTTTGAAGAACTTCCACACTGATTTACATTGTGGCTACACCAATTCACATTCTACCAATAATAATTAAGGATCCTCTTTCAACACATCCTCACAGCATGTGTTCTCATTTGTTTTGTAAGATAAAATTTCAAACAATTTTAACTTGAATATGTCTGATTGATAAGATATTGAACACTTAAAATATTCCTTAGCCATTCATATTTCTTCTTTTGAGAACTATATTGTCTAGTTTTTGTCAACATTTTGTCAAAAGTCCTGTGGATATCTACTACCAAAAAGTTTCATAAAATATATACATATGCACACACATATAAAGAGTTTAAATGGAGTTACCCTATAATAGGGCAACAATATCCCAAAAGATAATATAAACTAATAAACAGCTTAGTATCAATCTCTTTTGGAGTTGCTGGCCAGTGAGGTCCCACATACCCCCAACATTTGCCAATGCTCCTGGTTACCCTACAGAACTTGACAGTAAGACCCTATTGTAGAAGACACCATATGCTTGAGTCATAGAACACATAGAAAACAAGCTGGAACTTGCCTGGAAGTTTCATCCATAATGATTGGCCTTTGTGGTGCTAGAAGGGGCTATTCATGCTACCAGAGGAAAAGTAATCATTAATCTTACTGAGCTATGAGTGCTGCAAGCTACAATCATGACTGGCAAGACAAGGCAAGTCCACTAGTACAATAAAGGCATGGATGTAATGGGAGGAATCAATCACTTTCTGATTGTACTTAAGACCCACTCCACAAGATGGGCCTAATACCTGATAGTATTACTAACCCAAGAAACTAGCCCAAGAACCTGTGGCTAGATAGACAGATTATAGGCTCCAGGAGAGAATATACTACTACTATTATTTTATTAAATGAACATATAATTAAACTTACTCCTGATGTGTTTTTGTTATATCCATAAATTAATGCCTCTCTCAACCATCAGAGAAGCATCTATTTGTGGTAGACGGTGATTAACACAGAGACCCACACCTGGTCAGGCATAGAGAATAAGAGACTCTAGAATGGAGTATCTGCATCACATTCCTTCCTTCCAAAACTCATAGATTATTGTGGAAGAAAGAGTGGAAAGATGAAAGATTATCCATCGCCAGAGGTGGTAGAGAAGTATAAAAAAACAGTGGTTTCTACATGTAGCAGAACAGATATACATATGAAACCACAGCAGTTAAGACAGCAGGCACAAGACATGCATGCTCAAGGTGGACAAAATGCCAGCATCAAGTGGGGATGTGAACATGAAATTCTGGCCCTAAGCTAAAGAGCTATTGACAGTTGACAGCTGCTGGAAGGGGAGTCAGTTTTCTTTAAGGGTGTGTCCCCTGATAGGTCAACCACGCTCTAGTTGATGGTCACACACCCTAGAGTATATTAACAGCACAAACTGTACTTGATAGGCTTGAGAGAGAGAGAGAATGGCCACAGTAGCTTGGGGCTGGCCATATGCTGGCTTGATGCCCTCCATCAAGATAGCTAGATTCCTCACACAGTGTCCCAAGACTTCCATCAAACAAAGGCTGTTAATTCTTCAAGTCTAGACTAGGCTAGACTAGGCTTGTACCACACTTACCACATTCTACTAGATAAATAAATTTGCAGTGTCAGCCACATCAAAGGGAGTGAGAAATAAACGCCATCTCTTAAATGAATGAAAGTACAGAATTTGTTACCACCTTTAATATACTGTGGTTCTAAATTATTTATATTCTTTCCATGTGCAAAGTATATCATCCTTTCCCAAGATCCTCAAAAGCTTCATCCTCTGATGACATCTGACCAGGCTTAAAAGCCAGTATTTCATCATTAGAATCAGGTGCAGATCTGAATGCAGCTCCAAAATTAACATTCCCTGAGTATAGTCACTATGCATGAGTCACCAACCGACTTCTGAACTAAAAAGGCAAGCTATGTACCTTCCCAAAGTTCAGCACAGGACGAAGGCACAAGTGAAAATGAACAGTAGTACACATTCACATTCACAAAGTGATGGAAGAGCAGTCCAGAACAGTCACTGGTCCATAGTAATTTTTAAATCTACTTGGACAAAGGATGTAATGCTAATGCTGTGATGCTGGTA